GGTTTGGTAGAAGAGTATAGAGGGAGTCTCATGCATTATGTGAGCATTTCATGCTCCTATTGGTGGAGAAGTGATGTATGGTGATTTGCATGAGAGATACGTTGGAATCGTTCAATTCCAAAAAGGGGAGAGCAGAAGGCTTGTGGCATGCATAAAGAAAAAGTTTGCACTGAACGTGAATAGCTAATTTTGTGAGAGAAGGTAAGTACCATACCGGAAAATGTCACAGTCTCAAGGCACAAGTTTATAGTGGTCAAGACTGAACTGTTACAAACAATTAAATTCTGAAAATATTATATAAATGTTAAATATTATAGAAATAAAGTTATATAAAAGCTAAACGTTATGATAGTCATGGATACTACAATAGTAAGGTCAACTGCTGCATTTTTTAAACAAAATTAAATTTCGCTACTTATTTATTATTGGATCTCAAATATAGTTGCACCAGAAGAAAGCTTAGCCTTTTTTGTTTCTGTCAGATTAATCATTTTTATTGATACAATTTTGTAAATGAATGAGATATTCCAAAGGCATTGTGGGTATCCCTCCTGCAGGTGTATGTGCCATCTTGACTCTTCTTTGGTTAGAGAAAATAAATGAATAGATTACCCATCCTTAGCTAGACAAGTAAAGAACACAAGAAGTTAATGGAAATTCCTCTTATTTGAGTCTTTTTTTTTCAGACAGCATGTGTTAGTAATTATTTTGCAGGCATCATATTACTTGCCAGTTGTCAAGATCTCTGTTCAAAACTACATATTCTAATAAAATATGTATTTCTATAACAATCTTTCCCATGAGAATATACATATGACACCAATGCAGAATGACTCAGAAAAATAGGTAACTAAAGCAAAAGCAGTGTTATCAGGTTTAAGAACCAACTCTATTATCTAGACTGCTTACAATTTAAAAAAGATGTATGTGTGAAGAATTTTGAAAAATTTCAGTGAACATGAAATATTTGCCTATGTAAACTAGAAAGGAAAAGAAATACCTTATGCCATTTCAATTGCTAAAATAAGTCATAGGTCTGATTTCATTATCCAGTTTGACTTGCTAATGGGAAGCACCTTCTATTGCATCTAGAGTACAAAGGACTGTAGAAATAAACACATTAAGAAAAATAAGGAAAATAACTCCACAATAACACACCCATAACTTCTTACCACCACACCATGTTATACATGTTCACAGGACAACAGACAGTTCTTTAAAAAGATCTTTACTAGTCGAAAAATTAAATAATGTTTCTGCAAAATCTCTGTCAAAATCTGTGAGTACTGACAGAGCTAACCACTATGTAGAAATCAATAGGGTCATTCATGGTCATTTCTCTCAGATAATTGTGTTAGCCATGCAACTGTTTGTTGTCCCACAAGTAAAAACAGGGAGTGTATATATTCTAAGCATCATATGACTTACCAAAATGTCAAGGTCACTGTCTAAGTCTACAGTGTATTAAACTGTGTATTTCTACAGCAATATTTCCTAAGAGAAAGCACATGTGACACTAGAGAGAATGACCCAGAACAATAGAAAGCAAAAGCAATATAGTCAAATTTGACAGCCAACGTTCTATTGTCTTAACTGCATAAACTTAAAAAACACGTAAAATGTGAAGAAATTTGGAAAATTATTGATGAATGTGAAACATTAACCTATTTAAACTGGAAAAGAAAGAAACATATATTATTCTTTAATACATTACAATGGTATTTTGCTTGACATGAATAGAATTTTTTTATAAGTAAATTGTGTGAGGTAAGCATTAACTTAAGAGTTGTGCACTTTGACTTAATATAAAAATATATGCTTGTTTTGAGGTCAGAACTTATGAACTGATCTTTTATTTGGAGTTAAATTTGGCTAAATATTCCACACTACAGCCTAAAATATTGACTTTACTATACAGAGTAGCTGGAATACCCATCCCCTGGTTGGAAGTTTTGTAAATTCATGATTAATGAAAGATTATCTCAGGACATGAAAAGTTGCTTCCCATATATGTAATTGTAAAAAACACAAAAATGCCCATAAAAACTGTAAAACACAAAATGTGAAACTGCAAGTTTGCATGTATCTCCACATGGACCCAACAAATTTTCATGCCAAATTTAGTGAAGATCCATCAACGGGGGCGAAGTAGTGGTAAAAACCACAAAACAGAAAATGCAAAACTGAAAATTTGTATGTACCCTCGCATGGACCTAATAAACCTCCATACCAATTTTGGCGAGGATCCATCCACACCCTGCAAAGTAGTTACATACAACAGACAGTACTATTATATTTATGTAGATTTATATTACAAAGTTTTACTACCCATATAAATGCCAAGTGGAATTGAACAGCATAACTATTTAAATTGGCAAATTCAAGCCAGATAAAATTCAAAAACCCCAGTTGATTCTACACTTCCAAACTGAACTAAAAGCTGTAATATTAATTCTTAGGATTTTGCTATTGTGGAAATTTTAAAATGTTACATTTTTTAAAAATATTAACATGCCAGCTAAGAACCATGATGCTTTAAGAACATAAACAAGCATTGTACTAAGTTACAGTTTCAAATGGAAAGAAATTAAGACTTATACCAATTTCATTACAATGTACCTGTCTTATTTCTTGGTATTTAGTCTTTGCTATATGACACAACTGTTCTCTGATTTGGTCAATGTGCACTGATGAATCTGGACGATAGGTGTTAAATGAACTAATTGATGAAAGATCCGATACAGAACCTAATAAAATAAAAATACCATGACTAAGACAAAAATAAAACAATCCAGCAATTTGTTACTTTAAAGAATATATATATTGTGTATTTGGTTAAAATATTAATTTTTGGATGTTCAGTATTACTTTTTTATACATAAGTAATTTTCAGCAAGTCTAATGTACCTAGGAATAAATAAATGTGTAAAACAAATACAAACAACTGGTAATAGACATTGTTTCAAGCAATCATGCAAACTTTAAAAAATAACTGTAAACTAAACTTCAAACAGATATATTGTTGGATATACAAGACTGTTTAATGTAAGAGTTATTATTTAGTTCATTTAGTGGTCTAATATTTAATGATTATTTAGTTTTCATAACAAGTGTTAAAAGTAATTATTTTAAAGGTGATAGTTATGACAAATATCGTTACATAACTTGGTAACAGTCATATGTTGTATGTGTAGCTCAATTGTTGTAGTACTGATGATGTTATCTTTCTCAAACCTCTAAGTTCCAGGCCTCAGTTGACCAAGTTAGATATATATATATATATACACACACACACACATACATATAGGTGAAGTTAGCCGGCATGTGAATGATTAGGTGATTAGCCTTAACGGGTGATTTCTATTGTGTGCTTCACAGCTGTATTGTAACAATAGAGATAGGCAATATAATTTGTCTTGTCAATTGGGTTCTAAAGTACTGAACCAGCCTGTGTGGGTTTTTGATGACAAAAAAGAGACAATTATTTAAAGCTCTGGATACACCTGTGGTAACTAACAAGTGAAGTCAGAAAAAGTTAAGTTAGTGAAAGTGAAGTTAGACTGTGTGATTGTTAGTTTAGCCATAACAGGCAATATTTTAAAGTGAGTTTCACACTTTAACAGAGATAAAGGAATAATTTATGTTGTCAAAGGGTGTTATAAAGTAATTGAACCCACCTGTGTGGACTTTGACAAAATAGAGACAATTATATAAAGTTCAGGATACAACTGTGGTAACCCACTCAGTAATGTAAGTGAATTATTCACTGATACTATTGTGATAAGAGTAGAGAAAAATAACTTGTCATGTCAATTGGATTCTAAAGTAATTGAATCAGCCTGTGTGGACTTTTGACAAGAAAAGAGAATTATTTAGAGTTTTAGATAAAACTGTGATTTCTTATAGTGTAAAGAATTTTTGTACATATGTTTGACTTGTTTTGAATATATTATTTTAAAACAAGTGGATTGTATGATGTCCATTTATTGTTTGAATTCATCACCAACAAGTCACAGACACCTAGTGTAAAGAATTCAAGCCCATATACAAAAACCCTGACATATATTATGAAAGTAAACATTAATAAGGTTTAACTCTTAATAACTGTGTGTTAGACAGGCTAATTACTTTCAAGCATATAATATTTTAGTGTAACTGTGTTTCAACAAGAATTATAGATTAGAATACAAATACACTAACAGACTAGGTTACAAATACACCTTTACTTACAATAAACACAAACTCACCTCTATGTAATTGGCTTGTTTTCTGACTAGATACAGACTGTGATCTTGAATTACATTTAGAATACAATGAACCTGCACTCCAACTTCTAGCATGAGAAAGTGATTGCACCAGGGACTGTGACATACTTGAAATTCTCTTATCCTTTTGATTTTATTTAATTTTTTCTAACTTTTTTCTTCACATTTGTATGGATAGACAGGCAAGTGGTTCATATCTATAAAATATGAGACATTTAATTTTATAATGAATATGTATAACTGCAAAATAAAATCTTATGTTACAGCAAATTATGAAACAAAGCTAAACAACTTCAAAAATCTGCTGCAAAATATAACTGTGGAACTTGTAATTCAAAGTACTACCTGAGGACATTTCATTTTTCACACAAGAAATACGGTTATACAATAACATAATCTTAAAACTTAAACAACTGTACCAAAGAAATTACATCTTTGTTCTTTACTAATTTATACGATTAGTACATACTAAATTATCAGCCATGATATTTTATTTATTACCAATTTTAATAGCAAAGTATTGTGATCTAAAAGCAAATCCAGATACAACTGAGTAATATTATTAAAAGCACAACACCAATAAATTAGTACTGCAATAAAAAAGGAAAAATATAACCCAAAAGAATTAAATGCTATCTAAAGGTGGTTCTTTCTTAAATAACAAATTTCTGTTAAAATTTACTGTGAAATAAATAACTTGGTTGTTTTATTTTACAATGGTTATGTCTTTGTTTCAAGAGTTTTAGGGTGTTTCAAAAACACTGCTTTCTGTTTAGCTATACTAACCACAGATTTCAATGCCCTGCATAATGTTTTAGTATTTGGACCACTTGATTAGTCCATGGTTAATAATCTATCACCAAAACTAAATAATTTTCATAAAAGATGTTCAACATAAAGCACAAGCAGGAATCAACTTTACTAAATGACTTTTACTTGTTAAAGAACGTTTAAGAAGTACTGTTTATTTGGTATGAAACTAATTTTTACTCTTATGTTAATGTAGTATGTTGACTTTTCAATTGTTATGACTGAAAACAGCAATGAGCAGTGTCTTTAAAATACCAGAACTTAGTTATTGACAGAAAAACAACAGGGTCGAACTAAATCTTGATGATATAAAACTAGAAAAGATTTATACCTTATTTTTTTGAGAGGATGAAATGTACACATATGTATATATATATATATATACATGCAACAATAGGAATCTATATCTACTTGTCATTAGTGGGGCCCAAGTTACTGATAATATTGAAACTGCATGTGCCATTGAATTCAAGCTTTTGGTTGATTTGTTAGCAAAGAAGTATCATTATTTGTTTTCGATCCTGCATATTACATAGAAAAGTCATAGTGCTTTAATGCCCCTCTTCTAGTTACCTCAAGCCTATTACCCCATTGCATGCAATTTTGTATTTTTTTTTTATTAGATGAAGTATAAAGCTCAAATAATTTTTTTATTTATTTACCAAATGAGTTTTAGATGAAGCTTTAGCAACGCTATACTTCCTAAGTGTCAATAACTTCTAAATAGATGGAACTGTCATAGTTTTATTGATTTGCAATGACCAGGAACTATTTTGACAAAATTCCAGGGATTTTAATATTCTGAAATAGGCCTATTAAAATTCATGGGTTTTCAAGGTGCATATGAACCATGCTTCTTTTAAGGTAGATGGAATGTTCTTGAATTTACTTTGCTTGTGTTCTACTCATCTGACATATCTCTCATACACCTGCACGCAAGTATAGATTCTGAAAAAATTTGCTACAACAATACCAAAGTCCTGGCTGTGGCTTAAGAAGGGATACATTTTAGCATACTGAAATATAATACAATGGCTCTCTACTACTCTGACATTATAAACATTGCAAATTTTGCTATGTATTTCTTAGTCAATGATCCTTTCCCTTCAGTGTTAGTCATTATTTATCTTCTCTTATTCTCTCTCTTATGTTTCTTCTTCCATTTCTTTTTTCTCTTTGTACAATTTCTAATTTTTTGTTGTGTTTTTGTATTTCCCTATTACTACATCTTTTTTTTTTACTGCCCTTAAATTTTGCCAGATTTATGCAAATTCCCATTTTGCCTAACTGCTAAGGATGGCTCTGAGCAGATCAGTGAAATTATAACATACTATTAATGCTGAGTTCAATAAGAATTTACAACAGTATTCAATACTGGTGTGGTTAGCGAAATGACAGTCATTCACTAGCTTAACTAATTATTTTGTATTACACATACTGCATTGCATTTATTAATAATCTAATAAAGCTTTCAAATGAATAGGTAAAAGTTTTTCCCAGTTTTGGGAAATAAAAACAGAATCTATTCTACATTATGGGAGTTTTGCTCAGGGTTAGGAAGCATTTTATAAGGCATCTCAAAAAATACACGACAGCTTTCACAACTTGACCAAACAGAACATTCTCATGTCTAAGGCCAAAATAACTGCCACTTATTTAGAATTACTAACAGGCTTGTATAACTTTTATGGACTACCTAAGGCAAGTAATTGTTCAACTTATCAATGAATTCATGCTTAACATATACTCAAACTCTATTTATTAATAAATACATATATATAATCTAAATTAAGTTTTATTTAGAGTACTGTAATGTGTATATATTTTATACTTATATTTTACTTACGTTTATAAAGTTTTAATAATCATTAAATTAGTTCTCTCTCTCTCTAACTTAGACTTTTAAAGTTTAACTTTAAGTCTCAATGAGGAAAATTTAGACTTATATTACAATAAATACCATTAAAAATACTTAACTAAATTAGTCCAACCGCAGTAACAGCAATAAGGACATTTAATTCTAGTGAAATGTACATTTAAATAGAGTAAAGTACTATTGCCTATCTTGGGGAAAATTAGCCTACTAATGGCGCTTACCTTTATTTTTGACATAATATTCTGGGGTACATTTTTTATAGCATCACCCAAAATAATAATCTTCTTAATAATCTTTTAAACATAACATAATGGGGCTGATCTACAATTAGGTATTACAATCATAACTTGAACTCACTGTGTTCAACACCATGTTTGTTTTACTTGGTTGCTTAGTAACAAACGCCCTCTATTAGTTTGCGACTATTTCAAGATAGTAAACACTCTCCAGTTATTTAAACTGACAGTATATAATCTCTTTATAAAACAAGAATAAATACTTCTAAAATACTTTAATAGAAAACAGAAGATTTTCAATTACATAGACACCTTGTGATGATAATGCTATATAAAATGCAATACTAAAAGTATTAATATTGGTTCACAAAATATAAATATTTAAAACTATCTAAAAGCCATCTTGCAGAATAAAGATATGTTAGAAAAATGCCTTCAAAAATCATAAAACATTGAAAAATAAAATAAATCATTGTTGATAGATCATTACGATTGATTTTAATTGCCGTCGGCGCTTAAAGAAGTGACAATTTAGAATAACATTTCTTATTCACGTGGCCACAAGGGTTTCTCTGACTGTATGGTATTCTCGGGTACATTGATTTCCCTTCAGAGTAATCGGGTCTTTTTCGCAGAATAGTAGGAGATTCGTAGAAACTTTTTTTGCAGAGTGAAATTGAGTTCTCTGATTTTTAATGAATTGTGAAATTTAAATCTTTAAATCTTTAAAACACGATCAAAGTTAATCAGTGTGTACGAGATCTTTGTTAAGTAGCAAGTGTCTGATGAACATTTATTGTTCCAACCTATGTATTATGTACACGAAACATTAATACTATTCTTTTCAGGGCAGGCGCACTATCCACGTCACTGTTGTTCATTCCCATCGAAAAATAATGGAGGTTGTATCTTCAAGGTATCACCTGATTCGCCAATGGAATATTTCACTTTATACTTTTAAACAGTATTTTTTTCCTTTACAGAAATCTTTCCCACGAGAAGGCACACATCAAACTTAGGTGAATAACCCAGTTTAATAGATATTTAGGGCGAAAGGAACTTAGCAGCTTTTTAAAACAATGTTCTATGTTAAAACCGCATAATCTGTATGTATGAAATAAAAAAATAATAATATTTGATATGGGGGTACAACGATACTAATATTTTACTATTTAATCTTTATAAAATAATATTTTAATGATATTTATGTGAAGTACCTTTTTTGTTCCTTAGATTTTTTTTTCAGAATAATATATTTCAAATCTATACATAAAACCTAGAAACATCACAATTACATGTTATGACAGGGGTGAGAAATAAACCACAGACTCTTACACTATACTTGTTTGTTGAACTTAAAGTTTTTATTTCGGGAGATAATTTATGGGTTTACACGTTTTCCTCATGTAAATTTTTTTTTGCGTGTTTTAAACGTTTTGCATATCGATACTTTGGAAAGTTAAGAACACATAGCGAAGTCATTTTTTTGTTTTAAGGCTATTTTTGACTTAGAAAAGTTGTTGATAAATTGGGTCAAGTTTTTTTTTTTCACAAACATGTTACATTAACTAATTAAGCTAAATGGGAGAAAGTAGTAGAAGTAAACTCTTCATGTTCAGGAAGTATATGCTTGAATAGACATGAAAACTTGTTTCACTACAGAACTTAAATTTCTATCACAACTTTAGTTGTTTTTTTTCTGTAAAATGTTTTCATATATGTAGTCACATAAAAAGTTAAAGTTAGTTAATAAGGATTATTCTTGTTTTTTGAGTTCTTAATCCATGGAAATGATGCCTTCAATCCAAATATATGTACCTATAACTTAATAGTTTAAGTTAATTTGGCGCTAACATTAGTTTGTTACTAATATGTAGTGTCATATGACTTATAAGCTGACAATGTCATAGGCATTTGACTAGTAAAAGTGTTATTGCTATATGAAGTAGAAAAGGTATAGTTTATTTGTTTGTTTTTAGTGCAAAGCCACACAATAGGTTATCGGCGCGGGAAATTGAGCCACGGAATTTAGCGTTGTAAGTTCGTAAACTTACCATAGATCCACTGGGAGAAATGTAGATATGCAAGGGATACTATATGTCAGGTAGCTAGTATTATCCATGGAGAAAGGATAAGTTGCTTTAGGTATTATTTCCAGACCTTTAAATCGAATTTTATGTTAAAGTTCTTTGATTGTTTTGTGCACCATTAATATTTTATAATAGCAGTAGTAAGATATGACACACAAAGTTGGCCACTTCTTTTTTCTGTTAATAATTATAGTAAAATATATGATGTCATGCTATAAAAAGTCTGATTGACAATCGACCGTAAACTACAACTTATTACATATCGGAAAAAGAAACATTAGCATAAACCAAACTCTGAGTGAACATTTCGATTTGTACGACCAAAATATCAGAGTTCTGTTTCTCAAGGCAAGAATATTGGTAGTTTAAAACAATCTGATTAACCACCGATATTTAAATGTAAGAGAAACAATATGCCACTCGATTTGTAATGAAATAATGCTCAATTCTGCGCAATGCACTTGAGGACTTACGTTGTAGATAACAAAACCTTATTACATTACTTTTCTAGAAACACATTCAAATATTCTAACCTAAATTAATACGTTTAAATTAATGGAGTTATTGCGGCCTATACCGTTAAGTATAGGTTTATTAAAAAACAAACAATGAAAAAACGTTACTGACTGTTTAATCCATCTTGTAGATCAGTTGTAGAGGGAGAAAATTTTTGTATAAACTCATCGTCATCACAGCACAAATTTAATCGGAAAGGATTGTGAATTGTAGTAAAAACTACAACAGATAAAAGCTGACTAAAGCTTATAAATAAACAGATAAATAGGTAGACAGGTAGAATATCTCAACTAAAAGAATTCAACAGGAAGTAATTCTTACAAAATAAAATACCCAAGAAAGCTGTCAGAATCCATTTTGTCCCATGATGGGTCAGTGGTAAGTTTACAGACTTACAACGCTAGACTCCAGGGTTCGATTCCCGTGGCGGACAGAGTGTAAACAACCCACGAAGAAAACAACAACATAACCAATTTATAATGATAGTCTTCCTGCTTTCTTCATTTATTTGAAATATTCTTCATACATTCAAATATATATATATATATTGCAAATAAAGGAAGTAGTTGAACATTTGGTAACATGATATAAAGCACTATCTCGTCATATGCTATTCAATATGTCTTTGTTATTTAGTTGTTTTTCCATAGGTACAACATTAAGAGCCTTTTTGGTTTTAACTTTGAAATGAAAATAAAAAGTTTAAAAAATCATTTGATGCCCTTCGACGTTTTCATCTTAATTACAATATTTTTGAATTTTTATATTCACTAAAAATTTGCTTCCTCTATGCATTGCAGTGATTGAACTATTTAAAATGATATGAATTTCCCTCAGACTATTTAAAATCAGGGTATCAGTCCATGAAAAGTGTACAAGAAAAGGGGTGTACTATTCTTGCAGACAGAAGAAATAAAACAACGTTAACAAGAACTATTCACCTGAATGTAAAGTTTGTGATAACAATAAGGACAAGTAATTTAATTTTGCTATTGTGTTGCTGAACATGAAGTTTCAGTTTTGATTTTGACTTTATGGAAATGTGAGTTTCCTTTTTTTTCTTTATATTGTTACGTCTCTGTTTGTTTGTTAATTTTCCGTAAAAATTCTTTCCGGAGAAACTTTAGCGATACAAGTCTTTTCTTAAATAAAACTAGTTTATACTTTCTCAATACAACTTTGAAATTCACTTAATTTCCACAGTCACGTTATGATTTAAACAAACACTATAATTCACAACGAACGAACGATTCACGCGCTTGACTCAATTGTCATCTCTATTTCTGTCTGCAATTCAATTCCATTGTTGCCGTCACTTCTTGGCGGTCTTATATACAAGAATACCGAAAATCTAGTAAACACTCGAGGCTTCACGAAGGGACATGAATTTTCTAGAAGCTCATGACGTGTTATTAGCGTCACGTGACTTCCGCTGTCATAACAAGATGCTAAGAAAGACAACACTGTTCGTTTAAAACACAACTCAATATTGTGACACTGTAACAAATTGATAACGCATAATACACAGTTCTCACGGTTTTACACAAAACTACTTCTAGGAAAATATATGACAAAAGACATAATTAGATGTGTTTTTTGGGATATAAACGATTTTTCAATATGCTCTTAATGCAAAAACTTATTACATGTATTATTACACCTTCTTTAATGTTTTATGAGAATAATACCAGGTAAAAAGGGCAGAGATTACCATATGACTTTCATCGAGGAAGGAGGAAAAGCAAGATCTGTGACCAAAGTGATTGTCGATGTTAGTATTCTACTGATATCTCATTGCATGACATAGAAAGATTTTTCCAACACTAGTTTCAGATCGATATGGTTAGCAGCAACAAAATGGCGGACATTTAAATTTCATTTAGAGAGGATGCTGTTGTGTACATAAAAGATTTTTGCATACGTAAGTGAGATGATCATAAAAAGTTATTTAACTATGTTTGTCCATTAACTAAGTTGAGGATGGGTTTAAATACAGTGGTCATAGGTGAAGAAACCTGTATTGCTTAGATATTTTGACATTTTCCGAGTACTGTATGGAGATATTTTTCTGCTAAAAACTAGTTCAAACATTCAAAACTAGGAATTTAGAATTATGTTAAATCTTAAGGAACTTCCAATATTTTTTTTACTTTTTCAGTAGTAGATTCATTTTTTTTCATAAATAATAGTGTAAAACAGTGTAAAAGTTACAGAGCATTTTAGGTAGAATTATACCCCGGATTTTAGCGTTGTAAGTCCGTAAACCTACTGCTGACCCACTGGAAACTGCAAAAAAGTGGTATGATTGTTATATTTGAGAATAAATTAGTTCTGAAATATTGATTTTGATACTATAGTACTAGACAGATGAAAAATTATATATATACAATACACATATAATCATCAAATGATTTTTGAAATGTGAAGAAAATTTGTTATCTTATAACCATAACGCTATTTATTAGTTGGAAAAAAATCAAAACTTAGTGTTTTAAACAATATATGTTAGATAAAATGCACATACTAAACTAAATGCAATATTCCAATAGACAGACTTCAAAAATAAAGATAATAGTAAAAATGCGTAATAACAATGTTTTTTTTTGGTAAAATGAGTACTTCAGGGTGTAAGAAATAAACGGATGTCTATCTGGCATGGTACAGCAGTTTTTTCTATAACTGAAATAAATGACATATTTGGCTCCGCATAGGATTGAGTTCACATATAATGACATCCAAACATCTGTGGAGGAGTTAGGTTATCATCATCATCATCGTCGCCATCACATTGTTGTCATTATTATCTTTTTAGTTTTGTATTTCTGTAGCACATTGTAAGTAATTCGTCTTGGATGAAAATTTCTGCTAAATAACACTGTAATAATAGTAATCCTTAATGTTAGAGAACATTGGGGCTAACAGATATATCTAAATTGAAATAAGTTATAGAAACAAAACTATACACACTGTGCTAGTTTACCAACAAAGAGAATCCCAAATATAATTCTTGGTCAAAAGATTATAATGGAATGCTTATTTCAATTGCTAATACATAAAAAACAAACAATTAGCATTGTCGTATAGAAATTCTCAGAAGGTGGAATAAACAGACTATGAACCCCCCCCCCCCAACATTTTCCTCATAAGTGTAGAGAATTGCATGTTCAACCATAAGGAAGCAGACATGAACGTCATCAGTTACTTATTTATGTTCATGAGTCGGCAAGTCACTCAAGTGTTGTCTGATGACTGACATCTTTATCATCTTGCCTTCTTTGCTTGGAAGGACAAAATCATCCATTAAGACGAAAAAGAATGACAAAAGCATCATTGTCATCAACAAAACCTCTCAGAAACTGAGAAGCAAATGTAGGTTTATCTTACTTGCACATGCTCTCATCAATCAAGAGGAATTGTTTGAGATCGCTGCCAAAGAATATGGTGTTCTGAAATTTGCATTGATTTCATGATTCATCTTTATGATGACATGCCAACAGCATAAGTTAACAGCCTCAGGTACTCAGATTTTTAGCAAAATGAAAGAACCCCTAAAACTCAAAATCTTTCCCCCAATCAAAAACTCTTTCGTGAACCACGTCAAGCAAGCCAATCTATAGATAATGATCTGGTGTGCAGCAGAACAGAATGATCCACCCTGATGTAGATGTAATCCAGTTTAGTTGAAAATTTGATGAAAACAATGTACGCCAGCCAGTTTTTGGAATCACAACAGTTACCCACTGAGTATCCTTCAAGTTGTTGCATGTTCATGCAAATTTGAGAGTCCACGTAATTTACTGTAGTACTGTACATAGTATTGCAGGCGTGAAGGGGAAAATAACTGTCTCAAGGATAGAACTGTTAAATAGCCTGTTGTAGATGATTCTGATGGGGAGTAGACTGACTTTATCATCAGTGTATACACTTCCAACTTGTTCTTGAGTTCGTTGGTATTTAATTCAACGTGTTCAACTTATCAACTAAATGTATATCTGGACTTGTAATATCATTTCTTCTGTGCTTATAATATTTAGTTCAGCAAAAAATGTATTAAAGTTATGTCCACTAAAAAACTACTTTTAATAAAGTTTTGTTGTTACTTAAGTACATTCATTTAAGTTGCGAGCAAATAAAATTATTTTATAGATATTTTTACAACACTAATAATTGTTTTTCAGTTTTTTAAGATTATTAGAAAATACCTTACAATTTTATTTAATGACTTAAGCTTGCTTCGTTTTCTTTTTTCCCCAACTGTTGAATTGAATGTAGGAAGAATATTTTTTATTGTTTATATAAGAACTACACAATTGTGGAAACATAAAATGAATATACACATATTTTAAAAGTTAACTCATGAAAATTTGAAGAAATATTTAGAAATACACCAAAAGCATTTTATGCTTTAAAAAATTATAGTATTATTTTACAAAACACTTTTGAACGGACAATATGAGGTGTTTGAAAAACAAAAATAGAAAAACTTGGAATTTTTTATCCAAATAAATAACGAGAAAAAAACAACAACATTTAATTGATTTATTGTATAAATAATTTGTAATCTATATTTTAGTGTGCTCTGAGAAACTCCATGTTATAAGACCAATGGAAATTGGCCTCATATATTCTAGTCTTTCTAGCAGTATTATTTCAAAATAGCGTAAATGAATATTTATGGAAGTTGCCTTAGCTAATTTTTGTTGTCGAAGTAGAAAACGGCTCAACTGTATCATTCAACAGAAAATACAAATTCTCTTCTTAAGGTATTTTTGTCGAATTTATTTATTTAATGATCATGTTTGGTTACAACTCTGCATCAGTGAGTAGATATATGGTAGAATAGCTTTTGAGCATTATGACAGGGAAACAACTCTCTTGTTCACAAGTGTTTGTAATTTTTTCTAGATTTCCATTAATTTGTACATAAAGCATTTTATTTTCTATTTCCGGAAAAAAAAACAAAAAAAAACAACATAAAGTTAATTATTAGGCTTAGAAGCAAATAAATGATTTTAAAAAGTTATACATTAAAAATTTAATCGCTAGATCAAGTGTTAGAAATTGATATGTTTAAAAACAACGTCAATGGCACAAAGAAAGAAACAATATTTCATTTGCTCCACAATTATTTATAAATTGTTTATATATTTTTAAGTTTTATCTAAGTGATAGCATTATGAAACGTCATAGTTGTTATTAATGAACAGAATGTCTGCTTTTTATACTGATAAAAATTTTAGAACTGCGAATTTTTATTTAAAATCATTCTTCGGGAAGCTTTTAATTTTATTTTTCTCAATAAGTAAACTCAATTTAACGAGAATATAACAATATTGGTTGATTACAAATTTATTTCGCATTAGTAATCCAGTCAATGTGTAGGAACTAAATGTTTTTAAGTTCATATAGAACAAACACTTTTACAAGTTGTTTGGGCTCACCATACAATATTTTTACTTCACAAAATCCTAGTAAAAATATAGTTAATGAAATCAACAAGTTATTTCTTACTGTAACGTTTCGTATCATTGCTATCAGTGCAACAGGGACTACATAAAGAGGTTTTCCGTTCTTTTCTATGTTATTTTTAACAGTTTTCAAATGAATATCAAGAGAATATTGAAATAATTCTAGTTTTATTTCATGGTAATTAAATAAAGATTATAAAAAAGAACAATATATATATAGAATTTCAAAATAATGCTATACTGATCTATTCCGTGATGTTACAATCAATGAAGAGAAAGTGCAAAATGGAAAGATAAAGGCTAAGATAAAAGATAACCTCAGTAGAAATTAAGCCTCTATATGGAATCGTACTTTAATACTATAACTAACCTCGTAGAATGTAATCAGAACTTATGAAAATGTGAGGTAGTCATAAAAGGAAAATTTACAAACCCCAACTACAATCACCTGGTAGGCTGATTGTTGTTACTACGGTAATATTCAATGTTTCTTACTGTTTAGTAATAGCAAAAGAGGGATACAAAAAATACCATTATAAACAGAATATCACTTTGTTTCTTACGATATACTCCCAAGAGACATCCCTCATTGTTTGCCTTTATACTTTCATTGTGTATTTGAATGTAACTTTACCATGAATGTTTATTGATTGTTTTTTTGTTTTTGAATTTTCGTGCAAAGCTACACAAGGGCTATCTGCGCTAGCCGTCCCTAATTTAGCAGTGTAAGACTAGAGGGAAGGCAGCTAGTCATCACCACCCACCACCAACTCTTGGGCTACTCTTTTACCAACGAATAGTGGGATTGACCGTCACATTATAACGCCCTCACGGCTGAAAGGGCGAGCATGTTTGGTGTGACGGGGATTCGAACCCGCGACCCGCAGATTGCGAGTCGAGTGCCCTAACCACCTGGCCATGCCGGGCCGCATGTTTATTGAAGGAGGTTATAGAAACCATAGGTTAAAGATTTGTAGTCATAATGAAAAATGCAGTGTTTTTTAACCGATGTCATCACAGTATATATATATATATATATATGAATATGTTTCAAAACTTAATCAGAGGCCAT